GACTTTAGCCCATATCCGAGTATTGCTGAAGACATTTCTCAGTATCTGGTTGTTGTATCCCCAAGTGCACGCACACGTTTCCTGCATGTACGTACATATACAAACCTACATATCTTTTTTTTTCATTATCGCTGAGCCGCCCAGCGCAATGTTGAAATTACTTTTGAAATTTTAATGGCCGTCGGCTATTTCGCCAAAATGCACACACACACAGAGAGACCCATACACATTTACATACATATATACAGATGTGTAAAAACTTTATGACGCAACGAAAGAGGCTGTCAAAATGTAGCACGTGGCGTATGAGTTACAAGCATAAATATTTACAAGTGTGAAGCTTAAAGCTTGATTTGCATTTGCCAGTTTAAGATTTTGAAAGTAATATAAGCGAATTTTAAAAGCTCAACTTGAATAAATATCAAAGCCCAGACCGAGTATCAAAAACGAATGAGAAAAAACTCCTGTAAGTCCTTGTGCCGCCATATCCACAGAACGTTATCAAGCGCATGGCAACATATTATATTTTTTTATGAATTTTAGCTGAATTTCAAAGTTCAAGGACACGACGGTGGGTGCTGGCGTGCGTTACCTGGCATAGGGCTAAACTCGTAAAGAAACAGTGTCTACGTCTCACTTGTTATTATTGTTTCAAATTTCATATACGCCAGCTGCTGTCAGCGCCGCAGGACAATTGCCCTAAGCCAAGCGTTTAAGGAACTAATAATTCCAGCGCTTTGTTCTCAACATTTTTCATGGAAATCAGCATGCGAACATGCCCACATACATATATATATATATTTATATATATAAGTGGGGGCTATATTGAGCACTTCGAAAATGAAATTTATGGCACAATAAATTGAAATAATAAATTTCAGTGTGAGCGAAAGAGATTTCAGAGGGCGAAAAATAAATGAAATGAAGAAAGATTTCGCAACGAGATATGCTAACAACAAATGCAAAATATAAAAATATATATACATTTTATATTATGTTTCGAACATATAAAAATGAAGTAAAAAGTATAATTCAATATATGAAAATTTATTTTTGAATAAAGTTTTTTCATTTCATTCATTTATTAAAAATCTGCTTTCTCTTGTAAATATATTTGTGTTCAACCAAGTTATTCATTAGAATAAAAGCTTTTACAAAACTTCACCATTTGCATTCATGAATCAAATTTGTAAGCCTTTTTGGCAGTCCTGTTTTCGCCCCTTTCCTAAATTTTGATGGCTTTGCTTCTTTATCAACCTAACAAATCTTTCATTGTGTACAAGTTTTCACTTTTATACATCAATCTTGAATCGTCAAGCGGACCCAACGATTTGCTCAGCTGCTGGAAATTGCCTTTCTCTTAGCCTCCATTGCCAGCGCTTTGTTTATTGTTGGCTTTATTCAATTTAATTATTGGAAGGGCATTATAATTATGGCCTGTCAACTACATCATGCTCGGCTATAATCCAGCCAATAATCAGAAAGAAATATTTTATGACTGTAATAATGTTGGATTATAAGTATTTGCGGTGTGAACTATTTGCATTAGACCGTCAATCAACTGTAAGAAACCGCAGCTGAGAGCCTCTGATTGAAATATAATTTACATGTAGCATTTAATACACGATTGTCAAATACAAATACATGTATGCTCCATCTTGAAGTCGGTGAACTTGTCTGAGTCAATCAAGCTGATTGATTGCCTTAACATGCGAAATTTGAGTGTGTTTCTTAAGGGAGCCAACATCAATTATGCAGGGCGGTGGCAGATGTTCGGTAACAATAAAATAAGAGCAACGTCTGTTAATTGCGCCGCCGCACATCATGTCGTATGCGTAATGCGCAATATTTGTTGAACTTCTAATTGAGCGTCAGCGGCAACAACATGCCTGCCAAAAAGTTATAATCAACAACACCAACAGCAAGAGCACACTCACGGCTCAAAGTTTTGCCAGAGCCTTGTCAAAATTGGGCTTTTGTTAATTACGAAGCCCTTGGATAAGAGAAATATTTGTCAGAGCTTCAAGAAATAATTTAAAATTGGATTTGGCTTTGCTTCGAATAGTTGCTGCATGCCAAATGTCACAGACAGCCGTTATAATTTATTTAAACTGATTGGATTTATTTTGAAATGCATCTCTTATAATAAATTCCACATTTCTCAGTTGACAGTTGTTGAAATGTCGAGCTTGGCACAGTTTGTTTGTGAACTTTTGAGGCATCTGATTTGTGTTTTTTTCTATTTTAGTGCAGCTTAGGATGCATGGTCTCAATTGTGGTTTTATTGTGTATACACAGGGGGGGTTAAACAAATTTTTATTTTACAACGTTTTTGCACAAATCTCTAACAATATACTGTTAAACATTCGCAGTCCACGGACTTGGGAAAAATAATAATAACAATCCGATTGTAATAACTTTAAAGCATTCGTCTTTATTTAACTATGCACATTCAAAGCTGCTGCAAACATCAAACAAATAAAGAAATATACAACTATTTTGCTTGCACAAGATCTACATTCTGTTTTTAAGCTGGAAAAAAGAATTTGTAAACATACACCCTCGTACAATAAGCACATGTGGCACATGTGGCACATGCACACACGAGTACAGACAAATAAATAATACTGCATTCAGGAAATGCAACCTTCTGCAGGGTCTTAGGTCGCATTGTGCAGAGTCTCCGATTTGAACGGCTGGCAATCAGAGACCGCAAAGAGCTTGTTAACAGAGCACTTAGCACAACAACAACAGCAACAGACACTCGCAAACAGAGCTCACCAAGCAACTTGAAACGAATAGCTTTATTATATTTGTGTGTGTGTGTGTGTGTGGTTGTGGGTATCTCAAAGCTTGAAGCTGTGAGCAAGCTGTCTGCTTACCTGTCACAAATTTGCAGCTTAAGCAACACGCGCAATAACGTTTCATATGGGAGTAATATATTTGATTTTTTTTTTTTTCAGTTAATATGCGTGTAAATTGGTTTTGATGGCAACAAAAACATTTTAATTAAATACCATATTTTTGCAATAAAATCTACTTTTTTAAACAAGTAAGAAAGCTATAGAAAAAGAAATTTGGAGCCGGTATCCAAAATCCAACAAAAATCAAAACTGCATAAAATATACATAAAACTAAGTACAAAATTTGGAGGCTCTAGCTTTTAAGACGTCCGAAATATAATTTATTAACTGCATTTCAATTATGTTTTTATTCGATAACAATTAAATGCAAATAGTTATCGAATATTTGAAACAAACTCGACATGCACGTGCTATACACGGACCTAAATGCTGATAATCGTATAGATGCTGAGATCGACAGACAGACAGACGGACAGGGCTCAATCACTGCTTGTCGTCCTGATCAAGAATATATATACTTTATGGGATCTGCCACGCCTCCTTCTGTCTGTTGCATATATTTGCACAAAACCATTATACCCTGATTTCCCATTTTCAATGGAATCAAGGTATAATTAATAACAGTTGAGACGCCATCGGGTGCGGCGCGTGCAAAGAACTGAAAGGTAATATATATATAAAATATATATTTCATATTCGTTTACTAGGCTTTCCAACTCCGGCAATAAAATTGTTCAAAATTACGCTCATTTTTGTTCTTTTTAATTGTTGACAAGTTGCTGGCATCAACATTGTTTTAATTGAATATTCATTTTTTTTATTCGACACAGAGCCTTTTTATTCATATATAAAATATATATTTCATATTCGTTTACTACGCTTTCCAACTCCGGCAATAAAATTGTTCAAAATTACTCTCATTTTTGTTCTTTTTAATTGTTGACAAGTTGCAGGCATCAACATTGTTTTTATTGAATATTCATTTTTTTATTTGACACACAGCATTTTTATTCATTGGCCACTCGTGGCATGTCGTGTCCAATTTATTGCTATTTACAAAACGAGAAAGGGGTCTGTGTAACTGGCATTTTCATATTGAGAGGATATCATTATATTTAAAGATATATTTTTTACGTTTCCTATTTATTATATGTATTTCATTGAAAGATATACTGCCTCAAGGAAAATCTTCGATTTATCCACATATAAATATTTAACGTTTTGTTTTTGGCCAAATACTGAAAATCTATTTAATCTTAACTCCGTATTTTGGATCTTACCTTCCAGAGGTCTGGAATTTTCAACGCAAAAGCTTCTTGGCCACATAGCCGATAAAAGACAATAGTAAATGTCGGCTAATGCCATGTGTTGGCGCAAAGGCTTGCGGCTATATATCTTGAACACGGCTCAGAACATTTTCGATTAATATTTAAAATACATATTGGTATCTGCTTATGTATACTTTTATTAATGCATTCATGCACGCAACAGCATAGACAACAAGTAAAACAAAGATAACTAAGAAGGCCTGACTAGCAAATACCCTGAAAGCTGATATATTGACAAGCAAATAATTTAGGCATGCAGCAATTTCATTTTTGACTTGTGTTTCTCTGAGGGTATATATTTATAAGTATATGTAATATATGTTCATTGCTTTTTAAATTATATTCTTTTTACTTAATAAACCATTAATGTCTAGATATTTAATTTATATTATTAATAATTTATGTGGCCGACATATATTAAGCTACCTTTTATGTACAGAAGTCTTGGCACCAAAATTCATTTTCATAGGGTATCTGAAGTCTTTAGCCAAAGGTGAATGGCATTTTCCAAAAGCTCAACAAATAACTGCGCTAATTTTGCGCATCAAAAGCTGCGCATTCGTGTATAAAGTAATATAAATTTAAATATTTTGGCTCGATGGGCTGCTTGAGCATAGGTTTTATAGAGGTTAGATCTGGCTGGCTGGGTTAACTGTATATGCAGAAATAAGTAGCTGTATATAGGCAGTTGTGCTGCTTATGCTAATTTGGCATGCAGAGCGCGTCAGATGGAAACATTTTGCTTTGTTTCTGACAACTAATATCGATGGTATTTGTATTTGTATTGGTATCAGTGAAGAAATAAGGGTCATGTTCGCCGCTGCTGCGTCTGTAATTGGGTGTATAAAGGGATAAGATGGCGTTAGGGGATGATTTCCTCTCTCAATAAAAAAAAAGAAGAAACCAGCAAACAATATTTGCATGAGGCCAGACAATAGCAAACAGGATATGAGTTCGGTTATGTTATGTTTGACAAGGCAGACGGCTTCAAAGCCAGTCAGTAGACAGTAGGTGTGAAGCTTTATTTACTTTTGCCTTCCATCTCTTGACACGTCTGGTAAATTGTGAGAGTCTCGCAACTGGCTCTTGAATCATTTAATTTCTGTGATAGCTACAGCTGTTGGCTTCATGAAAGTAAGTCTGACATTTAATAGCGGCCAGAAGTTGCAAATAAAATTTATATGTGACGCAACTGGCAGAAGTTTGCAAATTAATTATTTATTACCATCGAGCGTTTAATTAGACGATAATCTGTGATAGGAAGGTGAAAATTAAGGGCAGGTGTTGTTTAATTACAGAGCTACAAATTTGTAATAGCTTAGGAATTCTTAGAATGTATTGAATAGGAAACATTTTTTTTATTTGATCGGACTGAGTGCAATCTTAGAATGGCTAACTATTCCATTCTGGCCGACATTGATTAAATAATCCTCTGCAAAACAATATTATCAAGAGGGAAGGCTTTGCTCAATTGAAAAAACTCTAAATTAACATGTAAATGTATACTAAACATCTCTCAAAGCAAAAGACATAACGTTGCGCACTCGAACATAAAGCCATCCTATGCTTAGATAATTGTTACACTTGATCACACTTACTTAGGTTTAACATTTACCTACTCTTGGCTTAAACATAAAATTAATCTTTAAGGCAATCATTGTAGCTCAAAAATCTAACAAAGTAAAAAGCCATAACAAAAAAAAAAGATTTCCTTTTTTTAAAAACTTGTCAAGCTGCTTAAGATTTTGCTTGTCCAATTTCATCTCAACCTTATTGCTTCGTTCAATAGAAAATGGCAATATAAATGATGCTATGTTTATATCTGATTCACCATAAAAAGTTTCGCAATGAAAGGAAAGGAATTTTCTATGGCCCATCTCTCAGTCTGACTTCTGGCTAGACTTAATTAAATTAATTTAAATATCATTTTAAACATATATATATATATATATGATAACATACTTTTGTATGTAAAACTTACCTGAAAGCTGTGATTTACGTTCTTAATGCTGCACTCGAAATAACACAGTTCCGAAAGATCAATCTCATCGAATACATCGCACTGCAAATAGCACAAAATAGGACGTAAAAAACTAAATAGTTATTGCTTTAATAGACTTTTTAATTAAATTAAATCTTTTTGTGGATAAATTGAAATTATAGAAAGTTAAATATGAAGTTATTTCTATAATGAAATGTAAATAAACTATAAAATATTCTTTGGCTTTTAACATTTTGTGTGATTTTTATTGAGGTATGAAATAGGCTGTGGCGATGACGGCATAAATGTTACTTGGCAACGTGCCAAAGTCTACTATTTTCCATTTTCTTTGCTATATTGTTGTTTTTTTTTGTCTCTGTTTGTCCTGTTCTTTGGGTTTCTGTTGCTTTCTGGACCTTGCTTTGTTGCTTTATGAAATACACAAAAGAGGAGCCAGCGGCAAATTGTTTGTTATTTTTCTCCTTCTAGCTGGCCTTGTTGTATATACATGTAAATATATATATATATATATATATATATTATTATATATATATTTATATATATATATATATTTAGATATGTGTGAAGGATACGCATACTTGCCAGTTCTTACGGAAATTGAAATGTTGTGCACAAACACACATACGAGCCCACTCATACAGACGCGAGTATTTTCGTGACAACAAAAGCCAAGAGCAACTCTTTTTTGCCATATAATAGGGGAAGTGTGACAATGGAAAACTGAATTCAACAACTTATGCCAAGTATTACATACACAAAACAGTTTTCCATTGGAAATTGGTTTTCTTCAAAAGTTTTCCACACCTTTTCAACAAGAACAGAACTGTGAAGCATGCAAACTTTTGCTTAGCAGACATTTCATTCAATTTTTTTCACCGTGATTAATATTTGAGTTTTGCTTGTTTTGCAGCTTGTTGTCTAAATTACAGTTTTTCTTTGTATTCACTTTTATTTGTTAAGAGTATTTATTTTGGCAACATTTTGAGGCTGCTAAAATCGAATATTGCGTATACACCATGTGTATTTAGATCTGTTATATGTACCTACTTTTTGTTTATATATACATAGGTATAAATAAATAATAATTGTCCCTGTATTTGTCCCTTTTGGTTTTCACTTCTTGGACTCTGCATAATTTATTTCCATTGGTATTTTGTAATGCACAATTCAGGGAAATTTTAAAGAATTTGCGGCTTTCAGGCTTTTGGTGATTACATTTTTCAAAGCTTCAAGGGGAACCTTTTTTCTGAGATGCCTGAACAAACCTTAACTAAAAGTCAACAGTAGTTGCTAGCCGGAAAAAGGTCATTATATTCAGTTATTTATTTACATTTTTCCTTACTTGAGTCTATGAAATTTGCCAAACATAATTTTCTTTAATCAGATTTTTATGCAGTTCAACCCCAACTTTTAATAAAACTGTCAAAAGCAGGAAGTTCTATGAAATGCAATTAATTTCAATTAAGTTTTCACATGATTTTATTTTCTAATGAATGAACATCAATGCGGATATTAAATCGTTTATCGTTAGACTTCTCAGCTCGCTTAAATTAAATAATTATAAATAACTACCAAATTGTGGCTTACTATTATTATTTAAGCTTCTTTTTCCAGCTATAAACATGACATTAAGTGTTCAGCATCAATAAATGACAATGTAAGTGGATATCCTAATGAAACATAATTGATTGAAAACTCTGCCGTCACTCAAACCGTGGATGCTTGAATTCCACAGGGGCAAGAAGTCAGAAACAGCGCCACCAGCAGCGTAATCCAACAGAGTGAGCATTATAATAATTATACAAATACATATGTGCGTGCATGAATGTGTGTGTGTCTTTGTGTGTGTAATGGACAGCAATTTGGAAAATTGCAGGAAAAGTGCGAGGCAGCAAACTGTCAGTGTCAGTCAAGCAGTCAGCAAGGAGTTGGCTGAGTGAATCGTTAAACGCTTCGCATGTTGAGGGAAAAATCGTTAAAAATCAGCAAGGATTTCCAGAGCTTTTCATATATATTGAGAAATGTGGGAGAGTTTGCTTTTCCTTTTTGCCATTGACATGATTGCAGCTTTAATTTCTGGAAACATTCTGTTATCCTGATATTTTGCCTTTTCGCTCTTTCCCCGGGGCCTTGCCTTCAGCTCAGACATTTTCCACTCCAGCGGCTTACATAAATCTTTGCCAAGTCCTATTGGAGTTCTTGCTGCCATCATTATGAGAGTTCACAACAAATATGCCCCGGTTTGCTTTTCTTTGTTGTGTGTGCGGCAGCTGTGGCTCAAGCGTGAAACGCAAAAGAAATCAATAAATAAATACGCGTAATTAAAAAGTAAACGAACTGTTTAAGCATCCCAGACGCAGGCATGAAATGCCAATTCAAATAAAATAAACCACAAATTGTATACCCACTAAGGCATGCGGGGTATTATAAATTTAAAGAATCCAAATGACTTGAAAAAATATAACTGAAATAAAATATATTTAATATATATATAAACAAATTTAATATTAATTGGTAAACAAATTAAATGGTTAACAAAAATATATTCAATCAATACACATATATACCCTGTGATCTTTGAAATAAATTGAAGTATATTAATAATAGTCTTCAGATGCAATGGAACATATTTGTGACCCTATGTGAGGGCTGAATGGGTTTTTATTCATTGTAATCTAACAAAACTAATTTTTTCAGTAGACGAGGAGCTTTCGAGTAGTATTTTAATTTGGCCATTTGATATTATAAAAGGTAGCCTTATACATTGCAGTGACATTCTTAAGTTCTTAAAGACCTAAAAGCAACTTATCTACGCACATCTACTGTTTTGCTTAAAGCTATTTTTGAGCTTTCTAAAATATTATTAAGCAATCTTCTATTGATGTGCATTGCAGCACTCCCCAGGGTATTAAGTAGTCAAACTTTGTTCATTTAAGTTATTTTTTTCTTCGCTTGGATTGGCGGATCCCTTTTGACCTTTGGGAACTGGACTTGAACTCAATGTTAGAAATTTCTTCGGAATTCTTTGGGATTTTCTCGCAGGTCAATCACAAACACATTAAGCAAATTGGTACATTACTTTTTTTGGCGAGGCAATAAGCCCTGGAGGTGAAAAACTTTGATTGCATTATGCCGAGATTTCCTCGCACACACACATTTACACACATACACCTCAAACGAGGGCTAAACTGTGTGGCTTAATCATTAATTTGCGCACTTTGCGACGTCCAGTCCGCCAGCTGGCCCAGCTGTAGAATTATAAGAAATAGAAGCACTTTCCACTTATTTTCGTCCCTTTTTGCTGGCCTCGCGTTTGCCACAGCTTGCAGAAAACTTTTGCTCATTCATATCAATTTCTTTGCATTACTTCTCGGGCAGACTTTTTTCATTTTAATTTTTTTCTCCTCTTTTTTTGCGAAATCACTTAATGGCGCACACATTTCAGCGGAAAATACGCGTGGAAAGGTGGGCGAAAAGTAAGAAAAAAGTAGCCAGGAATCTATTAGAACTGGGTGGAGAAAAAGGAAAAGTGCTGACCCGCCAGTTGAGTGCTGCGAGCAAACTAATTGAGCATAATATATTCAGAACGACGCACAACATAAGAAGTCGAGCTACACTTAAATACCTTATCTTGAGTGTAAGCTAAGGCTCATTCAATTTAATTGCTGTACCGAAATTCTCGAATTTTTAAAAGTCAAAATGAAGGTTAGATGTCCTGATAACAAATGTACTCTAAGTATAAAGTCGTTAAAACACAGTTTTACGGTATCCTCTTCCATCTGCATACGACTAAGAGTCTACATATTTGTTTACTGTTCAGCTGCGACTTGACCGCCAACAAAGCACTCAAATAAAAAGTTTTTGCTGTCAAACTTTGTATAATATTCAGTTTATAGTTTATTTTTTTTTTCAAATGTGTGTCAAAACATAAAGAAAACAAAAAATAAAAGAAGGAAAACATTTAAAAACAGTCTTCGTAATGACCTTTGCCATTCTCATATTTTTTTCAAGAGAAAAAAGTTTTCCAGCAGCAACTTTGGGAAAACTAGCAGAGCAGCATGTACGTGAGAAGTGCTATACAAGTTGTAAATTTGGGCCTTTAAGCAGCTTACCAAAAGGAACAATTTAAAGTGGTAGGACAGCTCTTTGGCAGATGTCGATGTGGAATGCTAAGTATTTCGGGTCTAATTTGCTGCAGCTAGATAGCAAGAGTTGCTCGAAACTGATTGAAGATGAAAGTGGCAACGCCGGTTATGGAGGTGTTGAGGAGGTGGCTCCTGTTGGGCGTGTCGCATTTCGTTTGGCGTGTCGAAAATCGCGTGGCTAGAAATTGTTGGCACTTCAATGGCATTACATTATAATGGCCAGCGCTCAAATATGGCCCTCAAGCAAGTTATTAATGTGCCATAATATTTATATATATATTTATTTTCCGCACTCCGTCGCACACCTGCCTGTGCGTTCAATTTAAATACGCATCCACAATTATAATGACTGTGCACCTTTTGAATACCATTTCAAATTATAATTTCTAAATTAAGCACAATTTATCAAACGAAGGGCTCCGGAAAAAGCGTTTAATGCCAAATTGGGCACTTTAAAAGAGTTACTCAACGCACACAAAAGAGACAAATATATTTGAATAGCAAAAAGGACAAGCCTGAAACAAAGACTACAATACAAATGTAGAACTGTCTGACATTCAAGTAAGTGGCAATGGTATAAATTTATGATAGTAAACTATGCAATTCAAATGTTCTGCTTACTAATAAAGTAGTTATGAGCATATGGATTGCTGCCGTATGTAAGTAAGCCAGGTTTGAAAAAGGCTCAAATTCTCTGCATGTAAGCATTTCCAGTTAAAGTCTAATCCCTTTATCAATTATAAATAAACAATCAACACAGATAAATTTACAATTATCACAAACACGTTAAAGTAAATGGATAATTGAAAAAAATTACAAAGAAATTATTGATATGTCAATCCATACCGTGATAGCCAGCTCATGTGTAGACAAGGCAAATAAAAGTAACAAAAAGAATGGAAGCTGACATAAGAG